TAAATGTAATCTTAGAATAGTAAATAGCCACCATAACTCCAAATCAATATGGATAAATGATTTAGTAATTGGATTAATTCTGCTAGCTGAACCTGCAGTGAGGATGAGAAGGGGATTTAGGTGAAGAGAATCCTCCATCTTGCTATGAGGAAGAAAAAACAGGAATCTTTGTTACTATATAACAATAATTGTGTTTATGTGATGGAATTAGAAATGCCCAGGACTGGAGTAAATCTAGCACAAGCACAAATAGTTAATTTTCTTAAAACCTAACTTTTCACCCATACATTTATTTAAACCTGCACAATAATATTTGTTTCTGTAAAGTGTTCCTGTCTTAGTAGTTTCCAGAGTGGCATCCTCATCCCACATGTGCATCTGCTTTGTACTAAACATAAAGCTATTGCATTCAGTTCCAAACACCAGATTGCTTTGCATACATTTCTGTTTTTCAAGTAGACATCATCTTGTAATAAACACAGTAATTTGTATGTCTTCATATACAAACTACATGCCATTTCCTGGTGTAGTGCAAGTTGAATTCAGTACAGAATACACACTTAGCCTTAATTATATGTTAATCAATAACTCCTGCTGATGTCACCATTCTTATAGAACTGAAAAGCAGAACTACTGCTGTAAAATATAATTCAATAGTTAGCATAGTTATCAGTTACTGGCAAGTTTTCGTGTTAAATAATAACTTCAAAACCTATGAGCTTTGTATGCAAGTGCAAGCTACACTACTTATTTGACATGTTTTTTTGACTTATTCAATATATGTTTCTAGAGAGATATTATACTATTTTTAAAGAAAAAGTAATGCTGCCTAAAAAAACAACTAAAAAAAAAAACCTTGAAAATTTGACTGCAAGGGTCACTTTGTCTTTGGAGGGAAGGAGCATTGTTTTAACACCAGTCTTTTCTTTTAATGGCCTTGTTCCTAAACATTTCTTTAGATTACATTTGTATGTCCAGGAGTGTAATATGTAATACTTTCTTTTGATGATAGATGAAGCTTTGCCTTCAAAACAGCATCAATTCTTCTGGGTAAACTTGCACACAGTGGTTGACGGAACTCGGCAGGTAGGATGTTCTAAACCTCTTGGAGAACTAACCACAGATTGTCTGTGGATGTAGGCTGCCTCAAATCCCTCTGTCTTTTCATGTAATCCAAGACAGACTCCATGATGCTGAGATCGGGGTGGGGGGGCAAACCAACACTTTTAGGACTCCTTGTTTCTCTTTACACAGAAGATAGTTCTTAATGACATTGGCTGTATGTTTGGGGTTGTTGTCCTGCTGCAGAAAAAAATTGGGGCCAATCACAGGCCTCCCTGATGGTATGACATGATGGATAAGTATCTGCTTGTATTTTTCAGCATTCAGGACACCATTAATCCGGACCAAATCTCCAACTCTCAGACTTGCAAGGAACCTGCACCATGCTTCACTGTCAATGCAGACATTCATTATTTTACCACTCTCCAGCCCTTCTGCACCCCACTTCCTTTGTCTTTGTGCATAGTTTAGTCACTTAGCCTTATTTCCATGTCGGAGGTATGTCTTTTTGGCCACAGTTCTTCCATGAAGACCACTCCTGGTCATATTTCTCCAGACAGTAGATCGATGTACCTGGGTCCCTCTTGTGTGCACCAGTTTGGTGCTGATGGCACTAGTGAACAACTTCTTATGTCGAAGGGAAGTAAGCATGATGTGTCTTTCATCTGCTGCATTAAGTTTCCTCAGCTGACTAATGCGTCTATGGTCCTCAACATTGCCTGTTTTTTTGTGCTTGAACAGCACATTTTGACACCCCAGTCTGCTTTGAAATCTATTCCTGGGAGTGACCTTGCTGATGCAGTATAACTACAATGAGGGGAATTTATCAAAACTGGAGCAGGCAAGATATGGAGCAGATTTGCACTGCAACCAATCAGCTTCTCTGTCTCATTTTCAAATCTTACCTGAGCAAACTAAAGAGAGATGTTGATTGGTTGCAATAGGCAAATGCTCCAGATTCTGTCTGCATCAGTTTTTATAAATTCCCCCCATTGCGTCTTGCTGCTGTGCTCAGTCTTGCCATGGTGTATGGCCTGTGACACGAAACTGTATTCCATAACCTCACCTTAGTAGCAGAGTTTGGCTGTTCCTCACCCAGTTGTAAGCTTCCTACACAGTTGTTTCTGTTTCAGTTAATGACTGTGTTTCAACCTACCTAATAAATTGATGATCATTAGCACCTTCTTGGTATAATTGGTTAATCATACACCTGACTCCTACAAAATCTGTGACTTTGTACAAGTGTAAGAATTGATGCTGGTTTGAAGCCAAAGGGTGGTCACACCAAATATTGATTTGATTTAGATTTTTCTTCTGTTTACTCACTTTGCAGTTTGTAAATTGATAAAAATAAATAATAAAAATATGTAGGGGTCTATTCACAAAGCTGCTGTAGGCAGCCGAGTGAATAACCGACCCGCAGTGAAGTGAGCCAAACGCTGTTTGGCTATTCACTTCAGGCTTGTATGGCTGATTTCAACTTAGCTCCACCCAACTGTTTTCTATTGGCCGGGCGGTTCTGCTGCTGTCAGAATAAATTAAAAACCACCATAGGAATGCATAGCTAGATTGCTATTGGAAAAAGCCAATATCAAACTAGCTATTGCACCTGCCCTCTGCTGCTGTCAATCACTAGCTGGCTGTCGGCCGGCCAATGACCGGCTTTCACCTCGGCTCAGTCGAGCTGAAGCATATGCCTTCGGCTCCACTGAGCCCCTCCGCCAACTTCAGGAGCTGTATGGGCTATAGTGAATAGCCCGTACAGCAGCCCTTCGGTTCTACTGAACCGAAGGGGTCCTGTGGTCGAAGTTAGCCGAAGGATCAGCCTAAGCTATGGCTAGATCCTTCGGCAGCTTTGTGAATAGACCCCATATTTTTGAAAGCATTCTTACTTTACAGCTTTTTTTAACACCTGTCTAAAACATTTGCACAGTAAATGTAACACACACACATATATATATATATACACACACCCACACACATA